ATTACTTTACATCCACCGTACAATACACTACTGTAACACTACAATACACTTGATGGAAAACTGGTACAAATGTAATTTAACTCTGTACAAAAAAGGCTATGTTCAGTATCCACCCTTTATGTTGACCTTTTGTTTTCTGGACCAATAATCTTAGATAATGCTAGCAATAAAATAATCTGAAGATAGATATTGTCACAAATAATGTTTTTGGAATCTTGATCAAGATCATGCATCGTTTATGGTCAGGGTAAGTTGCATGCAAGATGGTTTCACACCAATAATACCCATGCTTTTATGTGCAATTTGAATCAATTAAAAGAAACTGAAATCAGACAAATACAAGTTGTGCATCTTATTTATAAATATACTTCTTAAAGGCAACTCTAGTGAAAATTAACAAAAGCTCAAGAAGAAACACCTCACACGCATGTGCTAGCTTACAGGCCATTCAGATTTTTAAAGATATTTAAAGTAATAAGCTAAATCCCAGGCATTTATGTGTGCAATCAAGCAGGTTCAGACTGAATACCTTTGTGTTGATATAGATAGTCTTGTTAGATAAGTTTAAGTAAGCAGGTATCACAGTTTAATTCAATGTCCAGATGGGAAATTGTTATTTTGAACTTATTAGTTCTTTAACCATAATTAAGCGGACACCATTTTCCTTGATCTGCATCAAGATGTTGTTAGTGAGGTCACCCCCACTGCAATACTGTCTCAAACCAGATTATTGGCATTACCTCTTCCTCGTCCACATCAAGCTGGTCTGTGATGGACTCCTGTTTGGCCAGTGGAGCTGAAGCCCGTTTTTCTCTACTGATGGTGATAGCTGGTAGGCGTGTTAGACCAGCTATGGAGTCAGCTGAGGATGACTTGGACAGAGGCCAACCACTGGTGGTAGGAGAGGCCTAGCAAGGGGCAAGCAAGTTACTGGACTGTTGTGGGCTGATACAAGTGCAGGGTTTCTTTACTGATCAAATGCCAATGCATACATCAAAGTCTGCTTTCTGAACTCACTGGTGTATCATTTTTTTTTTATGATGGGGACTGATTGCTTAATATTTTAAGACAATCTGTACACATCACATTAATGAGAAACAGTTGACATTTATGTACTTATTATTTTCAAATTTCAAAGATTTTAAAGATTTTAGAGATCTTTTGTAAAATAAATTGTTTTATGGCTTTCGGCTCAAGGCATCAAAATTAGCAAGATATGTTGTATGCATTAACATATCCAAAAACCACTGCACTCATTTAGCTAAGATGATACATGTTTAAGCTAAACATTCACACATTTTATTTTAAAGTAATGGCAGTAAGTCTTTTGTTTTTATATTAAAAGGTTAAATCATGTTTTTATTAAATTGTTTGACAATGTTATTTATGATAACAGATGTTGTTAGAAGAAGTGTGTTTAAGAGAAGAGAAAGCACTAAGGCAAGCCATCTTGTCTAAGTCTACACTGTATAAGAAAGATGACTACTTATTGCAGCAAGCAATCTGTTCAAAGTCTACAATGTATATGAAAGACAAAGCCACTTATTGCAGCAGAGCTTACTAGGATACAGCAAAATATATATATATATATTCTACAGATACAGCTATTTTCACTGACAGTTTCATGTCTAATGGTGCAAAAATATCACTAGGACTTTGCAAGTAAGCTTGTTTGCAAATGAAAACTCTGCTGAAAAATAAGTTCACTCATAAAGTATCCAAGATTCAATCCTAAATAAAAGTAGAAAGTACCACTGCCCAAGCTGACACCTACCTGATTGTCTTTGGTTTGTTCTTGATATGCTGGCTTCACCCGTCTTATCCTACAACATGAACAAAAACTCTATTAGACAAACAAACACAACTGGTCTTATCCTACAACATGAACAAAAACTCTATTAGATAAACAAACACAACTGGTCTTATCCTACAACATGAACAAAAAC